CAGGTTGTTAATGAGTCTTCCTCCAATCCTGCTCCTTGGATTATTTATATAATATAACCCAGCTTCTTGGATTATTTGCTCAATATACAGGTTGAATAAATATGGTGAAAGAATACATCCCTGGTACACACCTTTCCTAATTTTAAACCATTTTAGTTCACTTAATGCACTAGAAATCTCATAGGCAGGATTTGTTCTGTTCCTACCACAAACCAGGTTCTAGAATGTTCATCCGTGTACTGGAGGACTTACCTCTCTGTTCTGGCCACTCTTGTAGAGCTGTGGCTCAGCCAGCAGCACGTGGGCAGGCACGTCCTTGTCCAGTACCCCAGTCACAAGCTGGGGAAGTGAGGAGAAGAGCAGGTTAAAGAAGATGAGATACCATTGGTCAATCATCGCAGATGCAGAGAAGCCACAGTAAAACTGGAACCAAAACAGGAGGCCCACAAACATCTGGAAATGTGAAAGAAACAGACTCCAGTTACAGAAGGACAAGCGAACTGTGTCTTCAGTTGTCCTTACAGCTTTTATCCCAAGGGACTTAAGGGCTCTCCAGAGTTCTATTATCAATCAAGACTAAATTTTTTGTTTTTGTGAAAATATACAGCCAAAAGATACACCATCTCAACATATTTCTGAAGGTTGCCTAGTCTCAGTCTGGCTGCTGCTTTCTTCCTCTCCCTCTGTTACCCGCTTAAACAGTGGAATCTGGGAATTCTCAGGAGCCACCCTTGAGAACTGAATTTTTGTGCCTGAAGAGCAACAAAAATAAACAAAAGGAAAGTAGAGCAGGGGTTCTAGGCTGCTCCCATTTTGAGAGGACCCACAGTGCATGCAGTCTCTTCTCTAGTACGTGTCTTTTGCTGCTGTGTCTCTAAACAAACATGCTTGTGGTTGTTCCCTTGACCCCATTTTCCATCTTTAGATGCAGTGATTTCTAGGAAGAGCAGTGGAGAGTCCTGGTGTGGCGCTGTAGGATAAGCACTTGACTGCAAGGTCAGTTTGAACCACAAAGTCGGTAGTTCAAACTCACCAGCCATACCTCGGAAACCCTTACAAGGTCATTACAGGTTGGAACCAACTCAACATTTAACAACAACAAAAATTGTGAGGGTTGGGAGCATGGTGGCTCCATGTGATAAGCACTAGACTGCGAACAACAAGGCCTACCGTTTGAGCCCACCTGCTGCTGCGCGGGAGAAAAACAGGGACTTCTGTCTGAGGTTAAAACCTGAGAAACCCTACACAGGGTTGCTATACGTTGGAACTCACTCCATGGCACTGAACAATGGTGGGGGTTGGGGCCCACAGAGTGGCAGCATAGTAGGCAACAGCAACTAACTTGACCCAGTTCAGGTTGCTTGCTTATCTCTCTGGTTGTTGTTGTTAAGTGCTGTCAAGTCAGTTCCAACCCATAGCAACCCTGTATAGGGTTTCTGAGGGGCTGCTGGTGAGCTTGAACTGCCAGTCTTTCAGTTCAAATAGCTTTTCAGTCTGGCATTAACTCACAGTGCCACACCAGAACTCCAATCTCTCTGGTAGGTGAGGGAATTCTAGGAATGATCTCTGACCCTTACAGGTAGCTCAATAGGCTGTCCCTGCTTGCCAAAGAAGACAGTGGCATTCAGAGAGGTTGAGCAGCCTTCTCAAGGCCCGTAAACAGCAGGAGATGCTGAGCCACATCTCTTTCCACCACCACGCGATTGTTGTTAATTGCTGTAGAGCCAATGCCGACTCATAGCAACTCTGCACAGGATATCCAAGGAACAGCTGGTAGCTTGAAACCATGAATCTTTTGGTTTGCAGTCCAGTGCTTACCCTATAGCGCCACACCAAGATCTCTGAATACTAGTTTGCTGTTCTTGTTAAATGTCATTGAGTCAGTTCAGACTCAAAGTGACCCTGGATAGGGTTTATGACGAGTGGCAGGTGGGTTTTTACTGTCAACCTTGCAGTTAGCAGTCCAGTGCTTATTTTCAGTGCTAAGCCAGGCTTCCTTGAATATTGGTGGTCCAGGACATAAACAAAGGGCATGGCAGTTTACTAATTGCACAGCCTTCTTACAGATAGCAGCATTGAGATTTGATACCACACAAAAGCTTAAAAATTGGCACTTGGTGTATGTAATTAAAACAGTCTGAATTTGGATTCTTAATTTTATTTTAAAGTCTTGACATGAGTCTAGAATCCATTGTGATTTTTTTTGTCGTCTTTTTGTTTTTTTTAATGTGAGTTATGTGATAGTTTATATGGGAAAACATTAGTTTTACATTCATCCTATCGTATG